GGCGAGGGGCGCCGCCGAGGAGCCGAGCCCGCCGAGCCGGGCGCTCTATTTCAGCGGGCGCGGCGAGCAGCTGCGCCTCCGGGCCGACCTCGAGCTGCCCCGGGACGCGTTCACGCTCCAAGTGTGGCTGCGAGCGGAGGGCGGCCAGAGGTCTCCGGCGGTGATCACAGGTAGGCAGGGGCGCCTGGGCGGGCGCTGCACGGGCCCCGCAGCCCTAGGGACGCGCGGGTGCCAGGGCTCGGGCGGCGGGTGGCGGGACGGTTCCGGGCTGGCGAGGGTTTCTGTCCAGAGCCGCTCTGCGAGCAGAGCGGCGGTGCGTGGGGCGAGCTGAGAGCCTCACTTTGCCCCATCTGTTAAATGGGCGCACTCCTCGGAAGGCGTCCTCGCCTTGCTCGCTCTGGAAGGACGTGAGGGGCTAGCTGTCCTAGCGCTCAGAGACCCCCAGTGGGAGCTGGCACTCGGGAGTCCCCTGCACGCATGTTGCTGGGGAATGGCCTGAGGGACTCTGTCCTTTGGGGATGGAGGGATGGAGGGGAGGATGGCCTAATTGGAATGAATGTTTAAAAAGCTTGAGGGGAGCATGGATTTCTTTTGACTTTTTAATGGAGTGACCCTTCTTTATTTGGCCCCATTACCTAGACGCCATAAGGACAGTGTTGTTGTCATTTGGGACTCAGAAGTCCTTGGTGTGCCCCAAAGTTGCTCTGTGCTTGCAGTCTGCCTCTGGGACCCACCCCCACTCCGCACTCACACGTACCCGACTGCTGTCCCATATCTAGCCTTCAGAGCCATTGCTTGTATCCCTGGGCTGGAGCGAGACAGTGAGACAGTCCCCACACGCAGCCCCCCAGCCTCCACCCTTTCCTCGGCTGCGAAACGGGGCGCTTTTCTCATTGGGGACTTTTATGAGCCTGTAATGAATTTGGGTTCTCCTTCTTTCTACCCTTCGCTGTTTCACAGCGAAACCCATAGTGAAACCGGACACTTTGTGAGGCTTTACAAACCTTAGAAATACTCCACCATCCATTTATCCCCTTCTAAATGAATCTGTGGAAATGCCTTTAATAAAACTGGGGGTGGGGACGGGCGTGCGGAGGAGAGGGGCGGCGTTGGGGAGAGAAGGAAAGTTTTGCCTCTTCTGGCTGGGAGATTCCCTGCACGAATAGTCTTGCCATGTCTTGGGACGTCTTAAAGTGAGAATAGGGGTTCCCCCTTCTCCGCAGTCAGGAAACATGTGGAGGCGTTGTGTGCTCCCACCTCCTTACACACTTTCTCAGAAGGGGAAGCTCTGAAGTTTGAGGCAGCCTGCTGCTTTGTGCCTTTTATTGGCTTGGGCGCTCTTAAACGGCGCGCTAACTCTATTCCATTTACATGAAATTCCACTTCTCAGGGCGCAAACGCCGCAGCTCTACCCAAAACGGTGCCCTCCTCACCCTTACCTTTCCGATAACAAACCCTTTGCATGCCAGCCACTTTCCCCCACACCTGACGTCATCGTCATCGCTTGCTATTTTTTCCCTCTTCCACCTCCCTCCAACCCCAAAGGAGAGGGATACTGAGCTCATTGGTCCCCAAATGCTGGTCACCGAGAGGAGGGTACAATGCGGAGCAGAGGGGAGTTGATTCATAATAATGATGACGATGACAATGTTCATTTCGGGCTGTGCTGTTTTCTTCTCTTTCGAAACCTGAAAAGCACAGAATTTGCTGCTTGGAAATGACCAAAAAAACAATTATTAAGTCAGATTCTTACACACACACACACACACACACACACCCCTCCACACCCCCGCCCTGCCCCTGAATTTTGGAAGGCTACCATCCAGCGAGGAGAGCCTGGGATTGTATAGGTACCATCAATGAAAATGTAATAAATGCATTTGAAAACATACAAACACCTGAAGGTCCACAGAGATTGCCTTCTAAGTGTCTGTAATTCAAAGAGCTCTCTTCACACACGCTCCCTCTCGAGTGCTCATTCTTCCTCACACGCACACCAAGACTGTTGCAGTAAAATACTTTAATTGGATGGGGGACGTTAGGTTATTATTGCTTGTATAAAATGCCTGGTCCATTTTATGTGTGGAAATAACATTCCTCTCAAAAAGAGAGAGAGAGAGAGAGAGAGAAAGGCGCTGCTGTCGTGTAGCACCAGAAAGCCAGGAGCTTTTCTCGGGAGGATTCTGGTGGAGTTTTTTTTCTCTTTTTTTTCCCCTCCCCTAATTGAGTACAAGCCAGATTTGGCGGTGTGTAAACACCTGGCCCAGAGCCAAAAAAGACTCATTCTGCGTATCCTCCACATGGTACAGACTGTTGGACTAAAAAAGAACCTGCTTCTCCTTGAATTCAAAGCAAACAAACAGAGGTTCTTGGCAGAAGCACTTTTTCAGCTCCCTCTTCGTGTAAGTTGGGGCTGGGAGAAGCAGGGCCGAGGCGCGCAGCGCAGCCCCTGGTGCCAGGGCGAGTTCTCCCGCGGCGACCTCAGGTGGCCAGCTTGTTGCCTGACCTCTGCTGCCTCTCTCTGGCTGGGCGTCGACGCCTTCCGAGGAATCCCTGGTCACCTATCTTGAGAGAGCATGCAAGAGCCAGCGGGGACCGCGCAGCTATTTCAGGCAGAGGGTTGCTGTCTTGCTGTCAGGCCAGCCTGCCTTACATCACTCTTTGCTGCAGGATTCAATTGGGTTTCGTAAAGGTCTAATTTTACGGTGCTGTTAACCGGGTCTGTCGTCTGGCAGAGGCAGGCCTCGCTGCTCCTGGTAGGCGGGCTGTGCTTCCAGATCCGCCCGGGATGCTATTTCTGCCCTGGTTCAAACTTCTTCGCTGACACCAGCTCAGGCGCTTGCTAGGCGAGGAAAAGGCAAGGAGTGCAGGAGCCTTTAGCTTCTGAAGCTCGGCAAACATGCCTTTTATTTTTCCAAGAGGCAGAGAGAAAAGAAAAATATTAATAAATAAAAAGGAAAGGCTTATGTAGGCAAAAACAAAGCCAAAGTTAGAAAGTGCTTTTGTGTAGCATTCTCTGGAGGGCCCACCAACGTTGGATAGTGGTTGGGATTGAAGAATCCTGCAAAGCTACTGTGTAAAGGGATCCTGAGAGGTTCCCGGGGCCAGCTCCCTCCTGTGCCAAATGGGGACACAGAGAGAGAGGGGGAGAGAGGAACGTTAGCTGGATGACCCAGCTTGTTGATGGCAGAATTAGGATTTAACTCCTGGCATCCTAACTTCCAGGCTTCACCCCCTACATGGCTGAGAGAACGTGTCTCATAAACACCCTCACCTCTCACCCCACACAGACCCACCACCCAGGCACAAGCTTCAAGCATGGCAATTTGGACTCCCTTTCAAGTCAAGGGGTTTCTGACACATCCTTTTTACTTTTGTCCTGCACACCAGGCAGAATCCAGACCCCCCCATCCCTCCCCCATCCCTCTAGTTTGAAAGAAAGAAAAAGAAGA